AGTCACTGAAGGTGGGAAAATAGGAGGGGAAGAAGGTTCTGGAGGCCAGGAAGAACACGTGTAGATGATGAAATTAAATCACGTACATGTTGGTATTTGGATATGACGTATTTGGAGATGCAGGCTCAAGGTTTGGGCTGGGGAGAGATTCAGGAATTGTTAACTTATAGATCGTTGTGGAAGTAAAGGGAGGAAGTGGGACCACCTCACACTGGGCGTGGGCGGAAAGGGAAGAGAAGGGGGCAGGGATGGCACCTGGGGGGCAAGAGAGCATCAGTGGACAGGACAGCAGGAGGGGGTTCCAGAAATGACCCTGAGACAGAGCAGTTTAGGGAAAAGAGGATGAGACATATCACTGAGTTGAGGGGGAATGATGCTGGGATGAGCATGGTGAGCTGTGCGAGAGTTGGCTGGGTGGGTCACCAGGGGCCATCACTGACCTCGGTGAGGGGAGCCCGGATGGGGGAAGGGAGGAGCCAGATGGCTGTGGGGTGAGGGGTAAATGGACGTGCTGACTGAGTGTCCACTCCAAGCTAGGAACGCAGAGGTGGGCAGACAGACTGAGACCCTCCTTGGTGGAGACCCCCAGATGGGCATTTTGCTTTCAGTGGGACAGGAGTCGTGGACAGAGAGAGGGGAGGATTCAGTGTCGTCACGGAAGAAGTGGAGAGGAGGGTTCCCAGAGCACTGGGTAGTGAGGCCTCAGCCCCAGAGGGGAAGGGGGTCCCTTGTCCAAGAAGAGGAAGGCATCCAGGAGGGGCTGCTGGGTGGGCGATTTCCCTGAGAAGAGAGGGCGGTGCGGGTGTGTGGAGAGCTCTGAGGATCACCCCGGGGTTTGAAGCAGCATCGTGGGGTCAGTGTGACAGGAGAGGGAGCCGGTAAGAAGCAGAGGCTAGTGGGCTCCTTCCCAGGGCCCCGCAGAGCTGCAGGTGCCAACTCGAGGACACCTGGCAGATGGCCTGCTCTGCGTCTCCCCCACGCGGACCCCCACCTCTGGCAGGCGGCATCTGCAAACCACGATGGAGGAGGCCTTCTCCTGGCCCCTCCCGAAGCAAGAAGTGGGGGGAGGCCATGCCAGCCGCTCAGGCCCCGGTCCCTCTGCCTCACCCACGGCTCCTCTGCCCTCCTCCACGCACGGCCACACCGGCCTCCTTGCTGCTCCTCGCCCAGCTGCCCACACCCTAACCCTCCCCTTCCCCCAGTCTTGGCTCAGCGTTCCTCCACGAGGCCTGAGGCCCGCCCTGATGATCCAATTTACCATCTCAACCCTCACCAGCCAGCACCCCCGGCCTCCTTCCCTTTCCTGCTGCCCTTGTTTGTGCCTCCGAACATTCTATATTACAAAGATTTGTCATGTATCATCAGTCCCCCTAGCTTGACTAGAAGCCGCAAAAGGGTGGAGAACTTAGAACTTAGTCTGCATGTTCTCTGGTGTGTCCCAGATGCCTAGAGCTGCTCCTGGCACGTGTCGGCTCTAGATGGAAATTTGTTGAGTGAATGATGAATTGAAGATAAAGGCCCTACAGCAAAGTGTTTTTCATCATATCTCTCAAACTTGAGGTGTATTTATTTTTAATAACGTACTAACTAGAGGGGAAAGAGAAGTAATATTATTTATTGTCACCCATGTGCCAGCCACTTGATAATCATCAATTCCTTGGATACTAATGTCAACCCCGGGCACAGAGCAAATATTCACTGAACGAATTTATTGATTGGCCATGAATCTTCTGCGGTCACACGCCAGGGCTGGATTTGATCCCAGATCCCTGAAATGCCAGATTCCATGCTCAGACCACTAGGCCACAGGTGTTCCAGAGGACAGTGAAGCCCTCCATCATCTCTAAATGTTTCCAAGGGGCTCTAACTTTTCTGTAGGACGTATTAATGGCAGTCTTTTAAAAACTCACACCGAGGCTGTGCCGATTCTTGCTAGCCCTTAACGAAGCCCGGCCTGTGTCAAACCCTCTTCTGTGGCAGATCTCGCCTGTAATTACAGCTTGTGGGAGTCAGCACTGGCGGTCACGTGGTGGCCCCACTCCCTCCTGCTGACTCTCTAATTAAACTAGCGACAGCATCTGTGCTTTGGGCCTCGCCAAGAACGAAGAGACGTGGGTCTCGCTGAAATTGGGCCCCTTCACGTTCCCCTGTGCCCCTGGGGGCTTGGTCCACACTCCAGCATCTCGAGGATATTGACGGACAACCAGGCCATGCCCCAGCTAGTCTCCCAGGCTCAGATCCCCTTAACGTGTGAAACTAATCGCAGTCTCGTGGAAGTGTAAACTGGGTCCCTCCCTCAGCTTTCTCGCTGTGGAACCATTTAGACCGTTTTCCAATAGAGGCACTGCTGGCAACACCCAGAGCTTGACACCCTGGTACTCTTAAAAGTTGCCTCCTCATGGAGTTTCAGCAGAAACCAGGAAGGAGGCTCTATCCTTTAGGTGGGGTCATCGTTTTCCAGCAGTGATTCAGAATATGGGTTCCCAGGGTTTGGACCCACAGCCAATGGGACAAGTACTGCTCAGGCCTCTCTTAAGACATGGCTTCCCCGGCCCACTGAACTGGGCCCAAGGTTGAGTCTGCAAATATCTAGCAACGATAACAACAGACATCGTGCTAAGCATTTGGTAGGCATCATCTCATTTAACCTCATCACAATTTTATGAAGAGGGTGTTATTATTGTGTCCATTTTACAGATGAACAAACTGACTCAGGTTAAGTCACTTGCCCAAGGCACACAGCTAATAAGGGGCAGAGCTTAGCATCCAAGCCCAAGCCTTTCCAACTCTGGGATTTGAACCCCAGAGGGTTGACTTTGGAGTGCTACTTGCAGCCTCTAGCCTCTATTATCTCTACCAAGGCCAGTGTTTCCTCTATGCATTTGTCCCACATATGTTTACTGAGCACCTACCAGGTGCCTGGCGCCATGCCGAGCCTTGTGTGCCCCGTTTGCTGCAAGCGGTTCTGGAGCAGGAGGCACATAAACTGACAGAGCACTGGGGATTCAGCTCAGCATGGTGAGGACACACAGGGGCCCCTGCCCTCACCTGGAGACAGGTCATAATACTCACTCACATCTATTGACCACGTGCCTGGATCTGTGCTAAACCCTTTCTATGCCTGTTTCGTTGGAATTCGGCAGTAAATCTATGCAATCACCCAACTCACGTGGTGATTTTGATACTTCAGGGAAATGCACATGTTAAATGTTTGGCAATAATTGGAGATATGCAAATGGTTACTAATATCATTTTTGGTTATGAAATATTCCAAAAACTCAGAAAAGGACAGAGAATAATATAATGCAGTTTTTCCCCTAAACTATTAGGTTGTGGAGTCAACTTAGATTGCAGGCAAGCATTGTTGAATAGACTAGAATAGGATAGAATGAAACTATCAGATGTATCAGAGATGGTAAGAGCCATGAGTATGAACGTTATTCATGAAAGTTATTTCAGGCCTGTGAGCGTGTGTGTGTGCGCGTGTTCTGCGTGTATAAATATCTTTCTTACTATAGATCATGGTCAAAAATATTTAAAAGTCACTGATATAATGAATACTCATGTATTTGCTATTCAGATTTAACAACTATTAATATTTTGCCATATTTGCTTCAGATGGTTTGACAAGAAATACATGTCGTAGATAGAATGAAAATGAAGCCCTGTTGGCACACCTCTCTCTGCTCTTCTTCCCTCATCTTTCCTGAAGCCAGTGAACGTGACTTTGATCAATTATTGCCCCGATTTGGTCCAGCCCCTCCTGGGGGAGCCAGGCTGAGGCCAGCCCACCCCAGGACCAGCTGAAAGAATGTCTCAGCCAGGAAGGGAGGCTTACTGATCACGCCCACTCCTCAAATTCTATTCACAGGTCCTGCATGCTTGCAAATGTTTAGAGAAACAATTTAAACATGACAAGGGGTCCTGATAAGTACATTTCGCTGTTGACATAAGAGCCTAGAAATATGTAAACACACATCGTAAGGCTGCACAAGGGCCGAGGGGTCTGGGACTCACACTCAGGAGCTGTGTCTCTGACATTCCACTGCCTCTTATCCTCAGAAATGAGGAAACTGAGTCCTGAGGGGAGGGATTGGTCCTGCCCAGATCCTGCCAGTGCAGACAGCAGGAATGTCGGGACAAGGAAGGAAGGAAGAAAGAAAGAGGAGGGAGGGAGAGACAGAGAGAAGGAAGGATGGATGGAAGGAAGGAAAGGAGGGAGGGAGGGAGGGAGGAATTATTTCCTTCTGGACACGCATCCCCAGAGGGTGCATGCCTTCCCTGCACGCTGTATAAGGAGCCCCCTGCCCTATCCCTATCACCCTGCTCGATTCACTTCACAGCACCTCTCCCCTGATGAACTGTACAATCATTTGCATATTTTCCATCTCCGCCCAGTAGACGTGAGACCCTGATCAGCGTGTTCACAGGCCGTTTTCCCAGGCCGGGCACACAGGTGGCCCTGGATGCAGGGTGTGTTTATCAGTACAGAAATGTACAGAAGGCATTCCTATGTCGAATGACTGAGTCAGTGAATGAAAGTGAAGTTAGCTCTCGGACCAACACCGACGGCACGCTGGCGGAGGCTGCGGCCCAGTAAAGCGTTCAGGCAGTGTGTGACCTGTTACCAGACTGCAACACAGGTTCACGTTCATTGATCATTTATTAAGGGCCCGGCACCATTTTAAGTGCTTCGCATGTATTAACCCTTTGTCCTCACCACAACCCTATGTGGAGGGCATTCCCAATGAGTCTATTTTCAAGTGGGGCAGAAAGGCACAGAGAGGTACAGCCACTTGTTTAACATCACACAGCTGGAACAAGGCAGAGCTGGGATTCAAAGCCGGGTAGTCTGGCTCCAGCGCCCTTGTGCTTCACGCCGTATTGCACTGCTACCCAGAGAGAAAATTCTAGAGCAAGGGTTTGAGGGATACTGACTCAGTCCTTTCAGCCTCTGACTGGGGAATTTTCATACCCTTTCCTTTTTTTTTTTTTTTAAGCAATTTGAGGAAAGTCAAGGTCGGACCAGTAGCAAAACAGCCTTTTACCAGGCGCTGCAGAACTCGCTGGGCGGCGAGGAGGCAGATGCAGGCGTCCTGGCTGCTGCCACGTGGTACTACTCCCTGGAGCACTCCGCAGACGACTACGCCTCCTTCTCCCGCGCCCTGGAGAACGCCACCCGGTGCGCGCCAGAGGGCGGGTCCTGATGCTGCGCGGGCCCGGGGTGCTCGGATCATGCACGGGGACTGAGGGCCTTGTGTTTGCACTTTCCTCTGCATCATTCGTTCAGTGCACGGCAGGGGCGACTCCCCGCCGGTGGCAGAAATGAGCGGTGACCCCAAGCTTCCCTCAGCAGCGCTCGCGGCACCAGAGGAAGTAGACAGAGTGCTTGCAGGGGTGCCTGTTGTCTGCCCTGCTGCTCAGCAAATGCTGATGGGGAGCCTGCCGCGCCTGGCCCAGCAGAGGGGCCGCCACGTCCTCTAACCCAGCGGCCTCCACCTGGGCTGCCCCGCTGAGCCCCGTGGGAACTTTCAAAGTGCGCTGATGCACAGGCCCCGTGAGCGTCAGTATTTTGACTCTACAGTGCAGCCAAGCTCACCTGGCACATGAGAAACGGAGGCCTAGAAGGGAAGGTTTTGTGCTTGTGTCACACCCAGGGCAGGAGTAGACCAGGGCCCCTGATGCCCATGCGCCCCTTTCCCCGAGGCGCCGTTTCTGAGCTCACTGCTTATGTGTCTATTGCTCAAGGTGGTTGCTTCAAGCTTCCTTCCCTCGGGAAAATCTGCCCCAACCCCCACCCCAAAAGCGGTTAATGGGTGCCCCACCCACCGCAGGCTCTGCGGTCCCCAGAATGTCCCTTTCTCCCAGCACCGTCCCCACCCCCACTGCATTTGTCAGGACCAGCTGTCTCCCAGTCAATGGGGGGCTCACTGGGGCCAGGAACTGTGTTTCTATGAGTGCATAGCAGGTGCAAAAGAAATGAGTTTTGAATTGAATCAGGAAATAGCTGGGGTTCCAGTTCTCTCTGCCTGCAGAGCCCCTGGGGATGAGACCATAGTGGGGACTCCAGCTCTCATGTCACCTCCGAGCCTCTCACGGGCCCCTCGACGTGTTCTGTTTCTGTGGCAGGGCTCCCCCTCTGAGTGGGAAGAGTATGGTCGGGCGGTTTCTGCATGTGTAACTTCTCTCCTCTCCTGCGGGAGGTCCACACTGGCCTTTCCTCTTTGTCCCCGGGGACAGAGCCCATGCTGGGCTCAGAGGCCTCTGCTGAACTTGACTCTGTGGGGAAGGGACGGACCGAAGGGTGTTTGGACCCACAGCCCTGCTTGATCTTTCCACCCAGGAGTCGGTGGTTTCCAATTGGAGGGTCATTAGTTCAGAATAGAACTTTGTACCACCAGCTGGGACCTTGGGGGCCAGAAAGGCCTTAATTTTCCCTCTAGCAGAGAGCTCAGCTTTAAACCAAACAGCCAACAGCTGTTCCTGGAGGCCGTCGCCAAGACTGGATCCTAAGAACCCACAGATGTCCATGTCCTGGACGCTGAGAGGCTCATAACCAAGTCGGGACGGGCTCAGATCTGTGTTGAAGAAAGAGCTCAGGGCTAGAGTTCAGAAAACCTACGTTCTTGCCCCAACTTTGCTTTTAACTGGCTTTGAGGGCAATCTGTGCACTGGAGCAAGAACTGAGGCCTGAGGGAAGGTGGGTAACCAAGGAGGGCTTCATTGAGGAGGCGGACTCCAGTCCTCCCTTAGCTCAGGCCCTCATTCTCTCCTGGCCAGACTCAAGCAGTGGCCTCCTCAGGCCTCCCTGCCTCCAATCTCCTCAGCAATTCCCCTCCACAAGGCTGCCAGTGTATGACCCTCTCCCGTAGCTCTGATCCCATCCCTGTCCTTCTCGCTTCTCCTCAGGGACCGTGAGATGAGGCACGGCTGCCTTCATCTGCCCTTCCAAACACCCACAACTGGCCCCACCTTACATTAGAGTCTTTCCTATAAAGACTTGAGCTGCCCTACAGACTCCAGAGGTCACCACAGTCAGCAGAAAAGGGGGTGGCAACCCTCCACATTGGTGAACCTTCATGGGTGTTATCAGACTTGGTCGTTACAAAATCTCTTCGGGGTAGGGCCCGCGGGCCCCATGTCTCGGCTTAGGAGATGGAGCATCAAGGAGATGACTCTGCTGAGTGGGATTCAAAACCTGGGGGGCCCAAGGCTAACCGAGGCCTGCCTGATTCTAGCCAGGCCTGTCTGCCTCTTCAGCCCACAGCTTGTGCACTGCCTCGCGCAGGACCCCACGCTGTAAGCTCGTGCCTCTGAAATGTACTCACGTCACCCCCAAAGGGAGAGTGAATGTGAAACTCTGGGAATCTAACACGCGATTCTAACCGCCCCATTACTGGCATTTTGGCCTGGACCTTTCCTTGCTGCGGGGGCTGTCCTGTGCATTGTAGGATGTTTAGCAGCATCCCTGGTCCATACCTGCTAGATACCAGTAAAACCTTTCCACCTCCAGCTGTGACAACCAAAACTGTCCCCCACACATTGCCAAATGTTCCCTGGGGGGTGGGGGCATCCCGGTTGAGAGCCACTGGTCTCAGGTACCATAAGCATGAAACTTCCTTGAGGTCTCCGTCTTCTTTTAGCCTGCACAATTAATTTATGTTCTGCTCCATAGTATATTATATTTCTTTTACTATAAAATATTTTGCTCCAAAGCTTTAAGGAAAGTTGATGCTCTGGGAAGATGCTTGGCCCGTGGGACTCTTGACCCTCAGATGCGTCCCCATGGGCAGAAGTGTGCCGTCACGGCTGTCTCTAAACCAGACTGGACCCCTGTGCCCCTGGCTCTTCCATCGAGCCAGCAGTGGAGCCAGCTGTGGCGAGAGGGGCGGGGAATGTGAGGAGGGTGTGCAGAGGGGCTTGGTGGCTGAGGGACCCCTGCCTAGGAGAAGCCTTTCCCCGGCAGAGTTGTCCATCATGCTATGCGTAACTAGACTCCCTCCTCTGTGCTCCTTTCCCCAGGGACTACTTCATCACCTGCCCCGTGATCGACATGGCCAGCCACTGGGCGAGGAGGGCCTGGGGAAACGTCTTCATGTACCATGCTCCCAAAAGCTATGGCCACAGCAGGTAAGGTGGCCATGTGGCCACAGAGATTGCTGGCAAACAAAAGGAGTCTGGCATGGGTCCCTGTGGCTTCTGTGATCCACAGGGAAGCAGGGAAAAGAGAGCAGGACCAGGTACTAGTCCCAGCTCAATGACATGGGACACGTCAGTTAACCTTCCTAAGCCTCAGTTTTATCATCTGAAGAGTGGGTGTAACAGTAACAGCCGCTTTATCTCCCAGTCTTGTAGGCACGGCTAAAACAAAAGGTATAGAAAGCAGTTTGGAATTGCAACACTATCTATAAATGGATTGACCGGGCTTGGGGGAGGAGTCTTCTTCGTTAATCCTACATGTTTATGCCTCTAAACAGTGAGCACTTAGTTTAAGGAATGACTTTCCAAAGTATAAAAGGGTTTTTTTTGGCGACAAAAGGAAAGTTTTGTTTAATTCTAATTTAGATACCCTTCTTAGTTCCAGAATAGGTTCAATGTGCCTTATAATAAAAATGTTAGGTGCAATAAAATCATCAAAATGGAAAAGAGAATTAAGAGATCCAAGCAGAAGAAAAGCGACAGTTAAGGGAAGGAGCAGCCTGTGGGCACAGGTGTAGCCCGCGTCTCCCGGAAGCCGAGGAAAAGGTTTAAAAATAAGGAAGAAAAGAACAAAGCTTTGGTTTTTGTAGCTCCAGCAGGTAAACAAAGGAGGCGGAGAAGCTAAGTGGCAGGGGACAAATTTGGTCTTGGCCAGTAGGAGAATGAGTCAACGAAGGTGTCTGGCGCGTGGAGTCCAGGGCGTTGCGGGGAGGACTGTGGGCCACGGGTCTGTGTCTTCACGACCTTACAGGCCTGGTCATCCACTCGTCTTGGAAAACCCCAGACATCTTCCCAGCTGGGCCGGTAACTTCCCACACGATCTGATGTGGTTCCCGTCAATCTCATCAGATTAGCCACCTCACTTCCGGGTTCCTTTGGGAGAATCTCACACCCCACCAAGCGCAAAAGAGGGGTGCTGTCCTTGCGCTCAGCCAGCAGCATCCACAAGTAGCAGAATGTCAGGGGTCGGGTCTCCAGAGGAGGCCAGAGTATGGCTGCTTCATCTCGTATGAGAGTGGAAGCCAGACCTGCCCTACGGAGCAAGGACACCCATCACCCACGTCCATGGTCTGTTTTATGGGCAACGGGGAGATGGGGTATAAGAACGCCAACTTGAGAGCTGGAGGTCCAGCCCCACCACTCACCAGCTGTGCAATCTCGGGCAGGCTCCTTCGCCTCCCTGAGCCTCAATATCCTCATCTACAAAATGAGGCTAATAGTTTCCTTTCACAGGACTGGTGTTAATAACATCTCAGACATAAACCATCCAGCTCATAACAGGACTCTAACCTGTGTTGCCTTGTAACATCATCAAGGGAATTCTTACAAATATACATAACTTCTCATTTACAGTTGGCTACGTCCCCATAGTAGGCTGAGTAATGTCCACTTAAAGATACCGGGTCCTTAATGATGTACACCTGAAATTTATACAATGCTATAAACCAATATTACTGCAATAATAAATAAATAAATTTAAATTTAAAATGCCAAAAAAAAAAGATACTGTGTCCTAACACCTGGAACCTGTAAACGTTACCCTATAAGGAAAAAGGGGCTTTGCAGATGTGGTTAAATTAAGGATCTTGACCTGGGAAAATTATCCTGGATTATCCCGGGGGGCCCTAAATGCAATCACAAGTGTACTTATAAGAGAGGCAGGCGGAGAGTTGACATACATAGAAGACGGGGAGGCACGTGACCAGGGAGGCAGAGATTGGAGTGATGCGTAAGCCAAGAAACACCAGCGGAGAAGCCGCCAGAGTTGAAAGAGCAGAGACTGCCTTCTCCCCCAGAGCCCCCAGAGGGAGCATGGCCCTGCCGATGCCTTGATTTTGGCCTGGTGAAACCAATCTTGGGCTTCTGGCCTCCAGAACTGTGAGACAGTAAATTTCTATTATTTTAAGCCATGAAGTTTATGGTAATTTGTTACAGCAGCTACAGGAAACTAATACAGTCCTAGGACATTCTAGCTTCCCTAAGCACCCATTATTTACCTGGTTTCCCCAAATAGATCATCCAATTTGTATAGCACGTCACAAAAACTTCCAGAATTCTGTGAGGTCGGCAGGGTTGACATGGTTATCTCTATTTTGCAGATGAAGAGTCTGAGGTTCAAGGAGTTCCACATGATTTCCCCAAGGACAGGCAGCAGTTAAGTATAGAGCAGCAACCTACCCATAGCTTCCCTGAGCCCCAGAACTCTCTTTCCAGTCTCTCTGCTTAGAATTATTTGTAATTTCAACCTGATCCACTTCCTAGATTTAAGCTACTGTCTCCAGGTTGTGGGAAAGAAAATAAATACCACGCTAAACTTCTGGTCAGAAGGCACCAGGGAGAGGAGGGATGAGGAAGAGAGCTGATGGTTTGGCTGTAGGTGAAAGGAGCCCTCGAAATCCAGAGGCCACCGGCGCACGGCCAGGGGGGCCAGACCTGGGGAGTCAGTTGTGGAATAAGCCTGGGTAGCATCTCCCTAATGTCAGGGCTCTAGGAATTCACGCCCAGTGCACGAGTTCTTCCCTCTGGTTCTCTGCCTTCCTCCCTTCTAAGGCAGAGATGTAACAAAAGGAGTGATACTCCTGCAGCATGACCATCAAGAGTCTTAAAATGTGCACGCACCTTTGGACTCCAGAATTTACGGTGGCAGAAAAATACGAAAGGCACCTCTCCATGAGGACAAAAACAGTCAAAGCAAAACCAAACGAGAGGGTCCGTATGATTCCAGCCCGAATCAATAACACTGTCACCCCACCTGTATTGGTTTCCTAGGGCAGCCTTAAGGAGGTACCACAAACTAGGTGGTTTAGAACCACAGAAACGTATTGTCTCGTGGTGCTGGAGGCCAGAAGTCCAGAATCAAGGTGTCAGCAGGGCCGTGCTCCCTCTGGAGGCTCCGGGGAGGATCTGTTCCAGGCCTCTCTCCTAGCTCCTGGTAACCCTCAGGCATTTCTTGGCTTGTAGATGCTGTCTTCCCCCTGTGTGTGTGTCCAAATGTCTCTTTTTGTAAGAACACCAGTCATATTGGATCAAGGCCCACTCTAATATCCTCATTTTAACTTGGTTGTCTCTGCAAAGACCTGTTTCCAAAGAAGGTCATGTGCTGAGGTCCTGGAGGTTAGGACTCCACCATATCTTTTGAGGGGGACACAATTCAACCCACAGCACCACCCTTTTCTCTAAAATAACTGAGCCCTGCTGGGGAGGCTCCTGAGTGGGTAAGGCCCAAAGCGGTCTGATTCAGACCTGGGATCTGGCTGATTCTCAGAGGAACGATCCTTGAACAGAATCTGAATCGCATCCTCAGTCTCCCACGGTCAGTCTGGGTTTCTCTGTTGCTGAACAGCATCCTCAGTGCCCCTCTGGGGATGCACAGACAGGGCTCCACTGGGCTGACCCGGGAACCTCCCTTGGGAGGAAGCCACGCTCGTGCCTCAGAGCCTCAGAGTGCCTCCTGGGTCTACAGTCACGGCCCCTCCAGGCCCAGTGACCCTCCAGGCATGGAAGGGACATAGTAGGTGCTCGGGAAATCATGCTGAAGGACAGGAGCTCATCCAACTGCCTCATTTGACAGGTGGGGAGCGGGTCCTTTCCTCTAGTTTACAGGCTCCTGGGGGCTCAGTTTTGTCATCTGCAAAATGGGAGTAGGGAGGTAGGAAAGCACTGATTCTTCACTGGGCTCTGCAGATCCCTGGACCCAGGGCGCCTGTGGGGCAGGGAGCCCGATGGAGGGTCTGAGCCTCCCAGCCCCTTTCGCTCCATCTCATACCCGAGCTTCGAGTAAAATTTCAAGGTTATGCAGTTTAGAGAGGTATGAAAACCACTAGGCTCAGTGACCGTTAAGGCGCCTTCTAACTCTCAGATTCTGTCATTTTTGGAAGAAAGAGATGCTTAGAGCCACTGGAACATTTTACAGGCAGAGATGTGGCTTCGTGTATAGAGGCAGCAAGTGTCCTGGTGAGAGCAGGGACCCTGGGCTGACTGCCTTGGTTAGAAACCCGTCTTGAATTTTATTAGCTCGGTGACCCATGACGAGTCACTTCACCTCCTCAGTGACTCAGTTTCTTCCCCTGAAAAATGGGGATAAAAATAATAGTGACTACTTCAGAGAGTTGTTGGGATAATTAATGCATACCCAGAAGAGGGCCTGGCCAACAGTGAGTGCTGAGTGCCCATTAGAAGGCGACCTGACAACCTCTGTGTCTGTGTCCTCTCTCCCCACCGTGATCACAGTGTGGAGCCGTCTTCATAGCAGGTACTTGAATCAACCCATGTAATTGTTGGCAAGTTTATCTTTTCTGCGTGAAAAGACATCTCTCTCTCTGCCCTGAAGCTGTCACACTTCTCATTTATTTCTGGCTCAAATCTGCAGACTTAAAATATATGTGTGTGCCTTCCATTCTCCGCCATCTGTCTTGTACCTCCGTTTCCGGGAACGTGCATTAGCTTTCCTGGTACAGCTAGTGGACAAAACACAGTACGTTAGCACTTGCTTACACACCGTTGTTAGCTGATCACAGCATAGCGTGATCACAGCATAGGTCCTCTAACTGCTCACCTAGATTATAGATGAGCTCTTCATCCCTGACACTGATGGCTCCCCTCTGGAGCAAAGAAGAGGGGTGGTCGATGGGGGAGGAGGCTAACTAAACCCTATAGTGTGAGAAGAAGGTTCAATTTTAAGATTCAGATTCAAAGAATCACGGAATATGTAAAATGATTTCATCCAACTCCTTCATGTTATAGATAAAGAAACAAGCCTAGAGAGGTGAGGGGATTATGTCCCAGTCCCAGAGCCAGTAAGTGGCAGTCTGGACCCAAACCCTGTCTCCTGCCCTTTCTCCAGTTTTCTTTCAATTGCACCCATTTCATTCCAAAGCCTCTGAGTGTCTGCCATGGCTAAGTCCACTTACTGGCTGTGTGACCTTGGGCAA